GGGGCCTGACGCCCTTGGGGAAAGTGACCTAAACTCCCCTCCTCGAGAAACATCCTGGATCTGACTCCTTAGACGGAATGGCCATTTGCTCAGCATGCTTTGCTCCGAGGTGGTTTCTCTTTGTTGGGCACATGCAGGCGTTCATGTTGCACAGACGGGAACTCCTAAATTCTCAGAGGCCTCCGGTGGCGTGCCCGCTGACGAGCCCCGGCTTCAGCTCTTTGTCTCATCCGCACGCAGGAAGGAGCGGCCTGGCCCTGGGCACTGAGCAGCGCAGGTCGCTCAGCATTCGCTCGGGGTGTGGGGCACGGACCCCCGCCAGGAAGCTGCAGGGCCAGGGCTCAGGGCTGGGGACAGCCTCCTGCCTCCCGCCTCCCGCAGGCACCCACGCATGTGGCTTCCGTTAGGGAATGTGAGCCCTGGGGGAAGTGAGAGGCTCCCCAATGACCACTCCTTTTTCTGAATAAAGGTGTGTTTTCTCAAGGAGAGGCCAAGCGCCGAGGGGCTGAACAGCAAGTATAGTGAAGATGCATTTGCTACGTGGAACCGGGGGTTCCAGTCCTAGTGTGGTAGGTGCTGCACAGGAGCCGAGGAATTAGTGGGTCTAGACCTGACTTTGATATTTCCTGTGTTATCCAGATGAGTCAGTCTAGTCACCTTTGGGTCTCAAGCTGTGGTCTCCAGCCAGCAGCACCTGCACCCCTGGGAATTTGTTAGAGAGGCAGCTTGTCCATCCCACTCAGCCCCCCTGACCCAGAGACCGGGGCTGTGGCCAGCCCCCCAGGAGGTTCGGACCCTGCAGCCCTGGTTCTTGTCTATAAAATAAGGCGACCGGCCCAGGTGGTATTTCAGGTCCCTTCCAGCTCTCCAGTGGCCTTGGGGTAGGGCCCGGCACAGGCGGAGCGCGTCTCTGTCTTAGACCGCGAACTGCCTCTTGGATGAGTCTTTGAAATAATTCAGCTGAAAACCAGCTACGTAGGTAACAGAAGAGAAACAGAACTCCAGGCCTCCGCACCGAACCCCATTAGGGTGCTCACTGTAAAGCAAAGTCGTGCTTCCTTCAGCGTTGGTATCATTTCCCCAAAATGGTGCTTGGGGAAGGGAGCACCCGTTTCTGTCGGGGCGGGGGGCTGTCTGCATCAGTTCACCGAGCAGCATTCCGCAGGAACTGAGGAATGGCATTTCAGAAGGATGCACAGAGGTACACAAGCTTTGCTGTAAGACAAGGGAACATTTCGAGCCATTTATCAAAGCTCACACAGCTTCTATTTCAAGACAGGTGGGAAAAATACCCGGAACAAGAGAGGAAAATAAGTCCGTATCCAGAGCGTCTCAGAAATAAGAAGGCGGGGACTGCGGGCCTCGCCGGGGTCTCGGAGTATTTTTGTCACAGCGTGGAAAGCTTCCCAGTCTTGCAGCATGTAATTTTTTTCGTTTGCCTGTGACCAACATCCAGGTTGGAAATTACTTCCCCGACGGTTAAAGCCAAAAGGGAAAAAAGGAAGCTATAATTTGAAGGAGAGAGGAGCTGGGAAAATGGAACCTGGAGTTAAAAAAGAGGCAGAAAGAAAGAACAGGGTTCACTCACCATCACAAAGCCATTTGCTTTTCACCTGCAGTGCGGGGGTGCTTCACAATGTAGGGCAAGCCCCAGAAAACCAACGGCAGCATTCTAATTGGCTTATGCTGAGTAGCAGCCTATTTGTCAGAGACTAGAGGAATGGTGGGCTGAACATCAGAGAGAGAGAGAGAGAGAGAGAGAGAGAGAGAGAGAGAGAGAGAGAGAGAGAGAGAGAGATCTGTTATACCCAGGGCGGGTGGAGAAATTGTAGCTTTCCTTAAAAAGGATGGACCGCAGGCTCATTATCCCTGAGCGAGTAATGTGGACGTCGGAGGACCACAGCTGAGGACCTCTGCATTGGGCATCTCTGTGAACTTCAACATCTGACACTGAAACCCCGAGAAAAGCCTGTACTCTGAGTAGTAATTGCCCATAACAGTGTGGGTTTACTTGGGGCTCTCTATTCTGTCCCATTGAATAGGGACAGTAGGTCTGCTTTTATGCTAGTACCATGCTGTTTTGATTATCAGGGCCATGTAGTATAGTTTGATATCAAGTAGTTTTGTTCTTTCTCAAGATTGCTGTGGCTTATTTGGGGTCGTTGGTGGTTCCATTTACATTTTTGGAATATTTGTTTTAGTTCTGGGATATATGCCATTGGTGTCTTGATAGAATTGCATTGAATGTGTAGGTTGCTTTGGGTAGTATGGCCATTTTAATGATGTTAATGATTCCTGTCCATGAACATGGTACATATTTTCACTTATGTATCCTCTTCATTCTCTTTTTTGAGTGTCTGATAATTTTCCAAGTATAGGCTTTTTACATTCTTGGTTAAATTTATCCAAAGGTATTTATTTTTTGAAGCAATTTTAAGTGGGATTGTCAAATTCTGGTTCTAAACTTTGGGCAAGCTCCCCAGACACCCAGTGCCTCAGTTTCCTTCTCTGTCACGGGAGAATAATAATCGAGTCTACTTGGAGGATCAAGAGTTAGTGCATGAAGGTTCTTTGCAGAATTCATGGCCTCACACAGGCATTATTTTATTGGGACTATTTGCTAAATAGCCACATGTTTCTTTAAAAGAACTCTAAAATTAAATTATATTATTTAACTCCAAGACCTTTTGAGATCAGTGGCGCCCTATTTGTTGGCCCCCAGGTGTGCATAAGGGGGAACGGCTGATAGGAGGAGGCTTTGAGGGGTTCTGGGAAGTAAATGCAAGCAAGACTGATGACTTTGGAGCCATGGGACCTTCTCCAGGGTCAGCTTCACTAGCTGCCACCAGTAGCTTTGGGGGCTGTTCCAGTTAGATCCAGAGAAACTAATCTGTCATTTGGTTTCCTCTTTGTGTATTTATTTATTTTATTATTATTATTATTATTATTATTATTATTTTAAATATATTTTATTGATATTTTACAGAGAGGAAGGGAGAAGGATAGAGAGTTAGAAACATCGATGAGAGAGAAACATCGACCAGCTGCCTCCTGCACACCCCCTATGGGGGATGTGCCCGTAACCAATGTACATGCCCTTGACCGGAATCGAACCCGGGACCCTTGAGTCCGCAGACCGACGCTCTGCCACTGAGCCAAACCGGCTTTGGCTGTGTATTTATTTTTGGAATAGACTCAGTGACCAACACTAGAAACAGGTCTGAAATCATTGCCATACTTTCCTCTCTCCACGGGGCACACGCCTCTTCGTCGGTGGGACCATGCTGGGTGGCAGCTAATACTGGGCAGCCTACATTTTTCTCAAGTCAACTGTCCTCAGTCTGTGTAGCATCGAAATGCTAGCAGCACCGAAGCAAATGCACCTGGCTTGCAGATGGCGCTGTGGCTTCCTCCTCAGCCAGTGGGGAGCTAGCCACTGCCTGAGTGCTGGGTGAGATGACAGTGCGGATGACCCGAAAGGGCTCAGCTCACAGTAACTTCCTAAGATGTTACTTGTGTTCACGAAAGTCTAGTGTTCCCAAGTCACAACAATACATTTGTGTGTGGTGCCAGACCTTCCACTGCTCTCTGGAGACTGAGGGTATTACAGTCTTTCATCACACGTTGTGTTTAGATGCACTCTCTGATCACTGATGCCCAGCATTTTGATTTCCCCGCTATTGAACACAAACCTTACTTCCTCCGTGAACATCAGGGGAAAGCCGAAGTCCCCTGTTTTTGATGTGTCCGGTGAAGTGCGTTTTTGATATAATTATATTTATTCTATGAGAGCTGTCCCTCTTACTATAAGTGGTGCTTTGCTGTTTTTAAAACTTTCCAATATCTGAATAAATGAGTCAGGATAAAATGCTGACTGAAAACAAAGTCCCTCCACTGATGCACCAAGAGGGCGGGCAGGGAAGCTCTGACAGGACCCGTGGCCGCAGACAGCGCCGCCCTGCTGGCATTTCAGACATCGCTTGCAGCTCAGCACATTCCCTTCTCAGACATTCCCGGAGCACGGGAAGGCAGCGTCCGTCCGTGTTCTCTCACAGAAGGCACAGGAGCCTGGGTTGTTTGAACCTTGAGGAAGTGAACAAGAAGTCCTTCGTGAACCCGTTAGAAAAACTACAGGGAACCGAAATGTTCTGGCAATTCAGAGAGCCACGCTGCTCATTCGCAAGTATTTAGGAACAAAACACAAATATGTAGTTCACACAAATTGCCTATATCCTGAGATGAAAGTAGGGTTTTTAATGCCTCTTTAACATTGCTTTTTCAGGTATTTAACAAAAAAACAAACAAAAAAAAGAGTTCTCTTAAACCACTCACCATCTGTATATGCATGTTCAGGACTGGGGGGCATGGTCCTGTCTGAGGGTTAATGGTGGGGCGTGGTTTGTTCCTTGGACAAGAGGCTTGTGGGTGACCTTGAACCGGGGAGAATGGCTTTGTCTTCCTGGTTCTCACACTGCAGTGAGCGCAGGTCAGTGAGGGGACCCTGGGGACAGCTGCTTTCTATTCCGTGTCCATGCCCAAGGCCTGCGCGCTTGTAACCCTGGACCGTTCACAGAGTCCCTGGGCCGGGTGGGCACACGAGGGCGGATGAGGAAGTGAAGGTGCAGAGTGAATGGCTGATGGCCGACATGTGGCTTCGTCCCAGCTCTTTCTCCCCCAAATGCTGTTGGCTTCACCACGGCACAGCTCCCAGACACACAGTGGTTCCGGATTTCCTTTGTCCTTCAGTGTTACATCTGAGGCTAATCCTGTTCTTGGATCTTCAGCTGAGTTTCCTAACCGGGGTGTAAGAGATGGCGTCACTGCCCCTGAGATAGAAGCTCCCACTGCTACCCAGCAGGTTTCCATGGAGATAGGTGCATTCCTACCTGGTTACTTTGGAGTTCGCCTTGTGATGGGTCTTCAGGTGGGACTCCAGACCTCTGCTGGCTGGTGGGTCCACTGAGGCATTAACCCGATCCAACCTTGTATTTCCATCACAGAATCACGTCAACCCTGCCATGGACTTCACCCAGACACCCCCGGGGATGTTGGCCCTGGACAACATGCTCTACTTTGCCAAACAACACCAGGACGCCTACATCCGGGTAAGCTCCCAGCCCCACGCGGCCACAGGCTTCCTGCTGAACTTGACTTTCAAGCTCACAGGGATGGAGGCACCCCCCAGAGATTTGGCTTTCATCCTCAGTGAAGTGAAAATTAAAATGAAATGAAACCCACCAGGGGCAGTGCCATAAAGGCTTCCCACCTCTGAGTATTTTTCATGTGATGGCATTGAAAAAGGCAATCGTACAGCCCAGCCGGGGTGGCTCAGTGGTTGAGCATCACCCTATAACCCGGAAGGTCCCAGGTTCGATTCCTGGTCAGAGCACATTCCTGGCCACAGGCTCAATCCCCAGTGGGGGGCGTGTAGGAGGCAGCCGATCAAAAATTCTCTCTCATCATTGATGTTTCTCTCTCTCCTTCTCCCTTCCTCTCTATAATAAAACCAATAATAAAAGTACATTTCTAAAAAATACAGTAGTACTGGAAAACTGGTGTATGTGGTTCAATAGCTAATTATGACAGAAGCTCTTAGGCTTCAGTACCGAGGACAGAAATGAGCTCCCCACCAAACCCGGCCTGGCTCTGGGGAGAGTGGGAACCGTGGCCTCACTCTGACACTCCTGAGCAGGGGCAGGGTTCCCTCAGGCACCACCTCTGGCCACTGCTGGAGACACAGTGAGATCAACAGCCAGCATGGGAGCAGCGGGGAGCTGTGGAGGAGAAGGGCAGGTGTGGGGAGGACGAGGTGAGGATGAGGGGAGTGCAGGGACCGTGACAGAGAGGCCACCCTCCGGGGCTGTCCCGGGTGAGGTCCTGGGCTTGTGCCGACACCTGTCGCCTGTCCTCAGGGCGAGGAGCCCAGACTCAGTGGGGATGGGGTACAGCCACCCCAGGCTGAGGTGGAGCAGCATGTGAACAAATGGGACGAGAACTGGTGAGCAGTGACCAGGATGACTAGATCTCAGTGTAGTGCATGAGGAATGAGGTGTCTGCCCCGGGAAGAGGGGGGTAGAGATGAGGAAAGGTAAGTCTGTCACTCACATCTCTTCGTCCCTCCCGGGGGCGCTGGCTCCGGAACGCTGGGGTTTGGGACCTGGCCCCATGGTTCTCTGGTGATGCAAATGTGGGCAACTCCGTTGGTCTGCACCAAACAGGAGAGCACTGTACCCCTGGGGGGCATTTGGAAATGTGAGGGCTTGTTCCTCTGGCTGGAACCATGCCCAGCCGGGGGCTGCTGGCCCAAACCCAGAGTACACGGCACGTCTTCCCCAGGAAAAGCGTGCTTCCCAGGAGGGCCCCTTGACACAGACGCCAGACCCTGGGAACTGCAGGCACTTGGTTTGAAATGGGCTTTTCTTAATAGCAACGGACTTGACAGAAAACAGACTGACAGCTGTCAGAGGGGAGGGCGCTGCGGGGCTGGGGGAAGGTGAAGGGACTGAGAGAAACCTCAGGCACGTTTTCCCATAGATGCAACTTGCTGAGCTTCGGCTTCCCCTGGAACATTGTTTGTAATTTGATTAGACAAAGGGTTTGAGGCATTTCTCCAAAAGATGGGAGATCGGATGGTGGCCAGGAATGCAATCTCCCTTAAGGAAAGCGTCTCGTCTCCCTGCCTTAGTGAGAAGTAATTGACATACATCATTGTAGGCGTTTACGATGCAGCCTGATGCCTGGATTTGTGAAGCCGTGGAAGAAAATTGTTTTGTTTTTTTTCATAAAAGTTTCATTTGGCTTGTAATTTGTTGCGCAGATATGTTTTCTAGGAGTGTAATCTGCTTGCAAAGAAGTGAATTAATATTTTTGAGAGACTGTGTAGTATAGCCTCCGGAATGTTGCGTGCGAAAACGAGCCGTGTGGAAATTGAATTCAGAATTAATGATTCATGTTTGTGGACGGAGAGTGTTCCTAAAATTAGAGCTTACTGATGCCGAATGCATTGTTAATTGCACAAGCAGCATATGTCTCCTGAGAAGGAACTCAATGCGCTCAGCCCATTCTCCTTAGTGCACTCTCTTAAGCATTGCGAGTGAACTGAGTGCGATGGAGCCCTTCAGCATTTACCTCCAGGAGAGACTTCAGTGAAAAACCGATTTCTAAAGGAAACGTGGCCCTTTTGTCCACATGCACTGCTGCTTATTGGTTAGGTATAGAATTCCTTTAAAAATAAGATTAATTACAATGGTTTTGTGCTCATGTATGTTCCTAAAACTATTCCAAATCAGAAAAAAAAATTATAATGCATAAATAAAGTAGAGGGTATTTGTAACTAAGAATTTTTTTTCAAGTTCTTTCATTATAGCTATTTTGTTGAAAGTTTAAAAATTTAGAGTATGTTTATACTAATCCTTTAACTTTATTCTCCCTCCTTGTGATGTATACTTAGTAAACATTACTTTTTAAAAATGTTTGAGAAAAATATTAGAATGACCCCAGTTCACCCAAGGGCCAGGGAAGTCTGATTTCTGGTGCAGTAACGAGGAGAAATGCTATGGGATGACCCGTATGAGGGAAGCTACTATCCTTGAGGCCTTTGGATATTTTGAGTACTTACCATGCCTTATTTGTAGTCTTCCCTTCAATGCTTCCAGAGATGGGAAAGTGAGGTCACCTTTGTACCCTCTTCTTCTAGCATGAAGGTCTTTCTGTGCATTAAGGTCTACCCCACGTTCAGAGCCATTTGGGGAAACTTTTTATCTTTTCTCTCCTTGCTATAAACATAATGAATAGCAAGCCCAGAACTTGCTATGCAGTAAAAGCTATACTAAACACTTTGAATACATTCTTACAGCACCCCTACGAAGTCAGCCCTGCTGGTATTTCCATTTTACAGGTGAGGGAGCTGACACACAGAGAGGTTAGGAGGTTTGCCCAGGACCACACAGCTAAGGGAGTGCCAGAGCCGACTTTAAAACCAAGGAGTCTGCGCCCAGTGTTCAGAGCCAATGCCTCCTAGAAGTTGCAGCTGTAGTTCAAACCAGTCCTGTGGGTGTGTTTTGCTCAACTCGCACAGTCTTTTTAATGAGAAGATGATTGACTTGCCTGTAGGCAGGGCTTGCTCTCTCTTTCTCTCTCCAAATAACCAGGTGCCAGAATTCCCTATTATATTCTGTCTGTCTGCTTGCTGCTTTCTTGTCTGCCTGGTACTTGAGGGACTTGAGTTAATGGCCACTGAAACGGGTGGTCGGCAGTGACCTCTGTAAAATTCTGGATGCACACAGTAGGTGTTCAATCATCTACCTGCCTTTTGCCTTTCCCAGTTCAAGTCTTTCTTGGTTTGGGTTCTATCTCCCAGGGGTTTCATATACATTTGCTCAGTGTTTGCTGTCTTTCCATTCTTGGCATGGATTTCTGGAGGGCGAGGTGCTTCATCTTGTATTCTGTGTTTATTCTCTGGCTAAGAAAAAAGGACTTTAGTTTCTAAATATATTGGACCAGTGTTCTTGGGGCTCTCCTCACAGTGGGCCCCAGAACTGTATGTCAGACCAGGCAAGGGACCTCTCACTGTCCAGCAGCCTGCGTTTTAAGGGAACAGGAGCCAAATACCCTACTTCCACTAAGGTTGGTGCTGATGGAGGCAATGTTGAGTCTTTAAAGTAAATCAGGGAACTTTTAACATCCCAAGAGGGGAAATTGGCAGTTTCCACAGCGACATAATTACAGGACAGCATGCAATGTGTAATTAAACTGAACTGTGAAGCAAGCGGTTGGAACAAAGCTTGGTGGCCCATCACTTTCTGTTCCCATAGTGTTGACAGATCATCCCCTCCCCATCTCCCCAAAACGGCTTCAGCAGCAATTGCTCCTAATTCCTTTTAAAGTGAAATTATATGTTGCCAGTTAAACACGTTTCATGTAAAAGAGCCTTCTTTATTTGAGTGACGTTTCCCTCTAAGATGATCTGGAGCACAGACTCCATTTAGAATAAAAAGGACCTAAGACAGCCTTGCTGGGACTTCAAAATAACTCTTTCTAATCATTCATTTAAATACTCGATTCTTCGCATTTATTTCTATTCTTTCTTTGACCAAGGTTCACAAGTCAGAGGCTTGTTGTTTTTCTGTACTGTATCTTTTCATGTTTTAAAAATAGTGGCATTAATTCCATTGATTTTGATTGTGAATATTCAAGCTGTTAACTGCCAATCAGGACCTCTTGAGAGTGTGAATGTGAGTGATTAGATTTGCTAATTGCACTGGAAGGCAGCATTTCTGACATGGAAGCCAACAGTTTTGAGTGCAAGGCTTGAGGCCCCAGGATGACTCATTGTTCAATGTGGGTTTGGTTTTATCTCCGAAGACCCTCCATCTGAGGAAGGCAGTTCCACGTGCACTCATGACTGCTGGGTACAGCCCTGTGTGGGTGCGGCGTTCACACCCCTCGGATCTGTAGGTACAGGATTCAGTGCCTGAAATCTAAAGCAGGTCTAAACCATGGTATTTGGTTGTTCATTCTCCTTTGCCAACAGCCCGATCTGGGTATGAGGTTCAGAATTTTTGCTTAGCTCTAGCTGAAGGTATTTATGTTTTTGTTTTGTTTGTTTTTAATCAACAAAACAGTGAAACTTTGAAAACACAGTGATGGATTGCTTGAGAGAAAGTAAAACGAGCTATAGAATGAACTGCGTGCAGGTGACACACCGTGTGAATCAAGGTTAGAACCTACAGGCAGCCTCCCCTGTGGGTGACTCCCTCCCTCCCGGGGTACCAGCGAAGCCGGTGGCTGCAGTCACTGCCTGGGGTCTCTGTCTTAGACCCAGCCACGTCTTCCCACCTGTCTCCCAGCTGGTTCTCTCAGTCCCCATTGCCCATTGTCATGTCTCCCTACGCTAGTTAAAGCAGTGACTACTGAGTACATGTTCTGTGATGTCCTGTTCCCTTTCTGCCTCCACTTTAGACATTGATTTAATTATTGATTTCAGAAAGGGAAAGAGAGTCAGAAAGAGAGAGAGAGAGAGAGAGAGAGAGAGAGAGAGAGAGAGAGAGAGAGAGAGACATTAATGATGAAAGAAACATTGATCGGCTGCCTCCTGCACGCCCCT